CAGGAAGAATCTATTTGATTTAACAGCAGCTGTAGTCAGCCAGAATGGATTAAAAACGTTTTTCTCACATATTAGCAAAACTGTATCATATAGAAATAGAGCTGTTAGTTGAAACCTGCTTACRTGTGTAAATGATTAGCCATAGTTAGAGAGAGGCAAACAGAAAAAGAGAGGTAGGGCAGTAAGACAAAGACAGCAGGAGTCTCTGAGCCCAGACTCACTGACAGAGTCTGGTTTTGTTTCAGTCAGTCAGTCAGTCAAGTCAGTGTCCGGGTTGCAAGTCTCTGCTGGTGATTCTGTGTCTTACTCACTGTCTGGATTCAGGCCTGACTGGGAGGGAATATGGGGACGTCTTCACACGGAGGTGCGTATATAAAGGGAAGAACTGCACAGAGTGTGTAGGTGTATGTGTGTGTGAAAACGGGAAAGAGAAAGAGAGAGAGTGAGAAGGGAGGAAATGAGAGTATGTGCTAAATAATAGCATGTGGGAATATAGGGAGTAGTGAAAAGTATATTATTCTTAACAGAATCTGTCACAATGAGAATGCTGTGAAATAAAACTTAATGTAAAGAACATACTGCCTGTGTTACTGTTCTGCACTTAGTCTAGGTGTATTTCATTTCTTCTTTTTTGTCTGGTAAGATTCAACAAGTTTTGACACAATTTCTCTATTTTGGGCCAGTTATGAACATTCTCCGTTTACATTTATTGTTTCTCTAAACTACAGTAGATCTAAAACCTACTGTGCAGACAGACAAAGGCTTCTGTGTAAGTGTTTGTCAAGGAAAACAAATGACTGTTTTGTGCATGTTTGTGTGTGTGTGGTTGTGGGTAATGTGTGAACCCTTGCACTAAGGGAGAGCAGTTGCAGGCGTAGCTAGGAGAACTCAAAGGTTGTTTGAGATCATTAGACAGCTGCCTGCACTCCTGGGTCCTACAGTAAGTCTTCTCTTCTGTTTCTACTTTCAGTGTTAAACAGTGTGGAGCAACAGTTACAGACAGCTGGGAGCGAGTCATACTTTGACATTAGCTCAACAGCTGTTTTATCCCCATGGCCTGTGCCTGAGAACTCAGATACAATGGACCTGCTTTGTTCTGCACCAAGACAATGAATGTACTCGCTATGAGCTGCACATTTTAATGCAAGCAAATCAAAGTAACATGTTTGAACAGTTTACTCCAAATGAGAAGAATCGTGTTATATTTCGTAGTTTTTTTAATCTCTTTTGAACTTTTTTTTTGTTACAGCTTGTTGTACTGAATGTGGGCTCTTTTTTGTTGTTGTTGCTTCCAGTAAAGAAATCTGTGATGGTAACTAAGACAAGTTGATCTTATTCCCATAGCAACCAGATCGTATCTTTCCCAAGAGCAAAATTCATTAATTGCGCTGCTTTTTACGAGGCCTGTATTTTTTGAGACAGGAATTCGAATACATGCTCAATTTCATTCTTGCCAAAAGAGCAGCTTCGCCGGCTGCATCACCTCTCCAGCTGCTACCCAGCTAATAGAGAAATGCTCTGTTGCCTGGAGAATATTAATGCACTCATATCAATGCACAGACATCACACTCGCCTTGGTAATTGTTTTGTGTACTTGTTTTGTCAGTAGCGTGTGGGTTTACGTGTGTGTGTTTTTACACCTTGGGTCATGAATTATTCGGGGAAAAAGCAACCAGTAATATGCTTCTTCTTATTACATCTTACTCTTGTTTTGACTTATTTATTTCTGACTTATGGAGACACTAATACATCTGGGCTGTGTTTGTGTCTGTGCCTCAGGGTGAGGGAAGGCGGCAAAGTTGAGGTTGTGATGAGTTTCTTTTGAGGTGTCGCATTAACATCCTGGAAGGCTTGGAGGTTGTTTATTTGCTGACTTGATCTGTTTCTGTCTGATGAACACAGGTCGGAGAATAATATTCCTGATGGGGGAATCAAGTCTGATGAAAAATAACCCAACCTGGCAGACACACAGAGTGCTCGGATCAGTTCTGGATTTATTCAAATGCTCAGCTTGAGGCTTGTGTGCTTTTGTCCCTGATTGTCAATCACTTTAAGAAAAAAACTGTTCATGGACACATGTTCCTCAAGTTTAACAAATTTATAAGAAAGCCAAAACATTTCACCCCCAAAACTTTGTGAAGTAGCTTAAAGTGAGGTGGATTAACTCTAACCTCTAATCTTTCCACATTTTCATTTCCTGATATGATTAAATAAAGTCTACATCATTTTTGTATCCTGCCTCCCATGATGATGCTGCTGGGTTTATTTTTGCCATATTAATGCAGTAGAGTACAGAAAATATGTAAAGATACATCATCCTGCAGATTTACCTGCAGCACTGCTGTACTACGTTTGGTCAGAAATTCACTCCTTCCATCCAAATCTCTTTTGCTTCCTTTATTCCCCTTTTTCACCTTCTCCCACCTGCATACGCTTCTAAGCACTGCGCTCTCCATCGTTCTTCACTCAAGTAGCRGCTTATTACAGAAAGGGAACGTGGAGGTTTAATTGAAGACGAGAAGAGAGCAGTAATGAGCCGGTGGAACCACAGAGAAGGACGAGCGAGGGTGTGGGCAAGGAAAGGCGAGCAAAGTGAGAAAGTTAGTCAGGTGGTGAGAAAGGAGGAGAGCAGCAGGAGGAGAGATGAAGGAAGGGGAGCAGCAGAAAGCACAAAGTGAGCTGAGGCAATCAGTCTGCGGTCTGCTGTGTCAGAGGTTCACACAAGCGCTTGTAATTTATAWCCTTTGCCTACAGCACTTTCTCCATCTCGTTTACACACACATGCAAACCAAAGCCTTGACATGTAAAACCTTGTCTTTACATATATGACTGTAATAATATGGGAAATCTCCAGAAATCTCCTTGTATTTTTTTTCTTTAATAATATTTTGTTATAGCACTGTGTATTTAGCTTTTGGCACTACAATAAATTAAAAGTATTCTTCTAGATGATTTATTAAGGCTTTGCTAATAGGGCAATCTTGCATTTGTAAGAACTTTAAAAAGCATTAATAAGTATTTATAAAGCAGTTCTAAAACACTAGGCTCACTATTTGGCCAAATGAAGAGTTGTGATTTTGCTTATGCAGATAAATGGAATTTTTTGCTTGTTTTTCAGCTTCTTAAAAAAATAAACAGCTTTATATGTTGAAAAAATAAACTTTCTACCTGCAAATGCTCACAGTGCTTATGTAAATCAGTGGTGGCTGTGCTTCAGTGATTAGAGCCCCGTCAGTGTATGAATGTGATCTATAGTAAGGGTTCTTAACTTTTTCAACCTTGGGGCCCAACTTGTTGACTCTAAAGTGCCACGAGCCCCATTCAGACATTAACAATGTACTGATCAAAGTGAGTAGTAGTGACAATCAAAGATTGATATAAATCTTAATTGAATTTAATTTGTATTGTTTTGCATTAAAACTAAATAAAATGCACTTGCAGTTTAACGAGCAAAGACCTCATCAAAAAAAATCACAAGACACATTTATGACAAACATTTACATACCTTACTTATAAATAATAAAAACTTCCACCATCGTTCTAAAAGTAAGTCAGTTCTCCACTTTTAGATGTAGAGCACTGTTGCGTCACATCTAAATGTTGGTGTTTTAATTATCAAATTTAATATACTACAAAGTTTATTTAGGGATGTATAGCCTATTGTGTTTTTCCATTTTATATAATAAACATTACCTAATGAGCGCAGCATATYATTTTCAGCAACATGCGGAACCTCATGTGTATGGCAGTCCGTTTTAACATAAAAGTGGCTTCACCACACTTATATTTCATATATTTGAAATTGGTTTATGACTAGATATATTAGTTGTTTAAATGAGAGATTCAAGATTCAACTAATGCCATTTAAATTGCAAACTTTTTCATGTTCTGTAATTATTTTAAAAAGCTGCACTCTCTTTTAAAAAATACTGTTTCTGCTGTGTCATCATTCTGTGCTCAAAAGCCCCCTTGCCACCCTCTCAAGGTCAATACTCTAGGGGAAACACTGTAGTTGTAAAGCACTTTGAATACCCTATTTGACCAGAAAGGTGCTATTAGTACAATCCATTTACAATTTACATACAGGTGTTAAATATTTTAAATCTAGACGATAAAAAATACAGATAAGCAGTGAGAATGTAAATACAGATAAATGTTGACTTAGTAAGTATTATGCACTCATGTTCTGCATGCTAATAATATAATAATATGTGACCCATCATATCGAAATGAGGATTAAGTCAAATTTGGTCAAAATGACCTAATTACATTTTCAGATTCTTGGCTTTAAAAGCTACATTTTGATACCTGGATCATTCTGATATCATAATTAAATCCATATATATGACTTATTTGTCTTGTTGGTTACAATAATACATAAATATTTGGTCTGAATCCTAATTTTAAGTCATTTTAATGAGGAATTTTTGATGTCCTTATAAAAAGGAAACCTCAAGTTATATTTGAATATTGAGACTTCCTAGCTAAAAAGAAACAAAATATTTCTTGCTCACAGGGAAAATCTCAAAATTTTAAGGCGTTTTTCCTCAAAATCAGGTTTCTTGTTGCTACTGCTAAAAAGTTTTCAAAAGTAAGTTTTAGGATTATATTTCAGACAGTTCATTCAAATGATACATTAATAAGGCTTTTATTCATTATATTTTGACAAAATGCAATTTTTGTTAACATTTTAGTCAAAACACTAAATTTGCCTGTTTCTCCTTATACCACTTTTGGACTTAATCCTCGTTTCGATGTGATGGGTCACACATATTTGGTCAATACAGTAATAGTAATAGTTTTAATATGTGTGCATGTTGAGTAATTTAGCGTTGAAAAATGTTGGTATCAAATATGATGATGCTCTTGAAGAAGGCCCATATTAAACTGTGGGAAGCAGATATTTTTATGTGCGTCATTAGAATTTCCATTCTATGAATATTAGATGTGAGTCGTGCTCTTCTTCCAACTCCGATCATGTTTTTGTGCTGATTTTCCAGGTTCAATGTGTGATGAACAGGCAGACGGGAAGAGGAAAGGTCGACCTAAAACAGAAACGCAGGAACTGAGAAACATCCCTGTGAGTATTTTCTTTTAAGAGTGGGTGCTTCAGGTGGGCTTTATTTTTCTCTCTGTGTAGTGCTCCCCACAAGTGTGTACAATCTGAGGCAAAAAATAACAGCCCAACTTTTATGTGTTCAGCTTTAACTTCCCCACCTCTGTGCAGGCCCATTTGATAGTACAATGGAAGGAAGAGTTTAAGCGCCGTTCCAGGGTTAAATGTCCGTGTTCGGGATGTTGGTTAGAGTTTCCCAGCATCTACGGCGTCAAGTACCACTATCAGCGCTGCCAGGGGGTGAGTCAGTAGCCTCTGCATTTTCCTGCTACATAGCTATTTCTACCTTTATGCTTCAGAGTAGAATTTAAAAAGTGACTCACAGCTGAGGAGTACGGTAACTCCTCCAAACATTATCTGTAGCCAGCACAACTAATTCAAGAGAATTTAGAAAGTTACCACATGTATATATTTTATTTCCATTCTTCTCATGTTTATATTTAGCCCACTGTAGCTGAGAAGCTGAGTCATGGCTGTCCTTACTGTGAAGCAGTGTTTGCCACAAAAGTCCGGCTGGAGAAGCACAAGTTGTGGAATCACCCAGACAAAGTTAGTAAGGAACCCAAGGAAGACCACCCTAAGCTTCATTCGCTTCCTGTCAAATTCAACACAAAGAAAAGGTAACTGGGATTTGGAGCTCACCCCCAATGACCAAACCAGTGGTGGTTATTTTTTTTTGTTTTGTTTTTGTTTTGTTTTTTATATTATGATACTGAAGACCCAAAACTGTCCTCTCTGTCTGTGAGTTCAGGCCCATGGAGAACAGTCCTCCCTCCCCGGTGTTCTTCAAAGTGAAAAAGACTCACGAGGCGTCTACACCCTCTCAGAATGGAGAACTGGCCCACCAGAAGAGCGAGAGGAGACAGCACATCCAAAGCCAGCCTTCACAGCAGATCCATCAGTCCCAGCCAGCTCAGCAACAGTCACAGTCCCAAAGCACATCATCCGACGCAGGAGGAAGTGAAAGCGAAGGGGGCAGCCTTCCCTCTTCCTTTCATGACGAAGACCCAGAGCGAATGAAGCACAGTAAGATCACAACCTTTCTTTTTTTTGTAACAGACTCTATAATATGGGCTCATGCTGGAAGCATATAATGATCACCCCTTCCTCCTGTTTTACTGAGCCAGGGCGGAAACAAAAAACGCCAAAAAAATTCACCGGTGAGCAGCCGTCTATATCTGGAACATTTGGCTTGAAAGGTATGCATCACAACCGGTTTTTTAACAAAACTTGCATCAACACAATGACTATATTTTATTAATAATCCCACGTTGAAAGCTGGAAAAACAGATTGTTGTTTTAAGTGTCAGCTGTTTCAGCGTTGATTATAGAACACCTCAGGAATTCTTTGTTGATTTACTTAGAAATTTTTAGGAGAACTAACATACTGCTGCTTCTATGCCATGTCTTGCTGGTTTTCTATTCAAAAGAAATATATTATGTGATTAGTTGTGTGTGTGGCTGTGAGTGTTCCCTATTTCCACTGATCAATGGAGCTAGTCTTTTAACAGCGCTAATGTGGCAACTGCTGAGATGCTTCATTTCTGACTAAATGAATCAGTGACTCACACGCCAAGCACAAATCACACATCCACAGCTTTACCGACCTCTTTCCATCTGTGTCTCATTGATATGCTGAAAATGTTCAGTGACTCATATAGCATATTCAGGCTGTAAACTATTTATTATCACATGTAGGGAAAAAAAATCAATGCAGTTTTCAGGACTCACTGCTCTCTTGCAGCCTTCCTGTAATTGATCCCATTTAGGGTAAAAGCATTTTTTTTTAATTCCATTGTTTTAGGCATGACTAAAGTAGAAGAGAAGCTGAAAGCAGGTCGTGTGAAAAGACCAGAGGGATGTGGTTTCAGTGAGGAGCCTCAGAGAAGATCTACATCAAGTCAGCTGTCCAAGAAGGAGTCATCCACGGCGAACTCTGGTAAACACCTAAAACMTTTAATTTACTGAATTTTCTTTAAACAAGCAAAACACAGCACTGTGATGTGGCTACAAATGGTTATTATGTCATTTGTAATAATTTCTTTAGTGACATGGGTGTGTTCCATCTTCAACACCTGAAGTATTTAAAAAAATTAGACATTTTTCTTGGCTCACAACTGTGCTTGGTTATTCATTTAGGTAAAGTTCATTGTGGCCATTTCCCTAAATCAGTTCAATTTAAATTCATATCTGAATTGATTAATCACCATTAGGTTTGGTTCGATCTGCTCTTAAATAACAAAAATGGCTGAACTGTGTTGCAAAATAGAAATTTACTTTATTTTGTTCTTTTCACCATAAACAGCAGGTTTTGAGGGCCAACATGTAAATTAGACAGTTAACTTGAACTAAAAAACAAAACTGTCTCAAATCTCAAAGGTGTTCAAAGAAAATGCAAATGAAAATGTACTTGAACTAAAATTTTCCAGCACTGTAAATTTCATTAAGACGTTCCGGTAAAAACTATTATACAAAAAGTGTACTAAAATTGTTACAATAATGACACTTTTAGTACACATCCTGGGAATAACAGTTTCAGTCAGATGTTTACATTGCACCATAACATAGTTTGGTCTGAACACCTGAACGAGCCGCTTGAAGCCTTTGTTTTCCACTACCGAGTATGGGCATAACGCTTTGCAAACAAAAGTTGCCATGACCTCTGTTATCTTTATGTCCCAYGAAGAATGGTAATGGTTGGTAATGTTAGTGATTCCCTTAGTTTATTTTGTTTGGCCCTATGTTGTTGGAAGCTAACATTAGTGCTTGTGCACTTGAATGAACGTCCACCAGACATAAATGTATGGCAAGCCAGGAGTGACACAAAACAAAAAGATGTCTAAAACATTGATCTCATGCCCTATGACTCGATATTGCAAAGATTTTAATTAAATCAATCCAAGATCAGTTTAAGCAATTTTTTTTATCCAGCACTATTTAATAGGCATATCTAAACAAGTTGATAATAGCCTTTGATGTATTTTGTCTAGGTGGTGTTTCTGACAGTCAGTGGCAGCGAACAATCTCAGAGCGAGGTGAAGTGGTGTGTCCAACCTGCTCCATTGTCACAAGAAAGACAATACATGGCCTCAAGAAACACATGGAGATATGCCAGCAGGTCAGTGTGGGATCCAAATTGTGAATGGACGAATGTATTGTCACACATTTTTCTAGTAAAGCAAACAAGTGTAACCAAAACGTTTTTTCCCCCTGTCAGCTTATTTCATGTGTTATAAAGATAAACACCCCAGTACAAGCTTTCTTTTTCTGTTTTTTTAATTGGGAAATGTGTTCTAGCTTAAAACAGGACCAAGACATTATGATGCTAAAGGTCAAGGTCAACTTTTTTTGAGCTTTATATCAAGTTATAATGTTTTTCCCTCATCAAAACAAACCCAGAGTGTTGCTTTGACTCGTTGCATCTTCTACATGGTAGCCATGTTGAGCTGCCTAAACACTTGCTGGTACAAAGCCCCTCCCTGGTGCTCAGTCTGCAGCTGAGCTCCCATCCCACAGAGCCCCCCTCCCCCAATGCATTGCTGTGGAAACATGCTGAAGTGGAAGTGTTGGAAATGGTAGAATGTCCTAAAGGAGGCAGATGGCAATTTCAAGGTGTTTAGATAGTCTTTGTTGCAAAGTCAAATTTCTTTTTGATTTATACAGCATTTTTATTAAAATGAAAATACATAACCCCTCCCCCAAACTTCTCCTGGCACAAAGCTCTTCCTGTGGGTTTTGCAGTTGATAAACAGAGGACTCAACTTGACAGAGAGTTATTTCAGCAATCAAAATTCAAATTTCACACGGTTCAGTCAGGAAATCTCTCACTTCAAGTGAGTTGCAGCAAAGATGGTGTTACTTCTTAGTTTTCTCTAAAGACACAAAATTAAACAGACATTATCTTCACTGTCGGTCATGTTTTCATAACGATGATGGACGTTCTGGCTCCAAGCAGTTTTCTCTGTGTCACTGTGATAAAACCACTAATAATCGTGATATTTCTATTACATTTGTAATATTCAACCTCAGCACTCTCATTTTGGTTCTTAATTTGAATCTTTAATGTAGATTTTAGATACTTTGCCTAGGAAATCCAATTGTGCAAACTACTGAGAGTCCTTACAGCAAATACTGTATATTGATTGAAAAGATATAAATATCATCAGTCAGTGTGTTCAACCCGGTCAGTAACCTCAAACTGTTTTTTGTTGCAATATCCTTATTCATTGTTTTTTATTTGAAAGCGAATACCAGCTGAAAGAGACCAAAGGGAGGGAAACCRTACACCTCTATAAACACACTTCCAGTAAATTGTGGTCAGCAGGAGTAACAAAGTAAGAGTGAAGCATGAAAAAGGTTACCCAACTACACTAAAGCTGAGCTCTCCCAGTGGAAGAAGCAGGTAGACCGGTTCAGGAGGCTGGTCCTGAGAGAGATGTTTCTCTGCAGCTGCTGTAACAGTGGTCTGTCTAACTCGATTAAACTGAGTCTGCCATTGAGCAATGACAGAATTACCACATTACCCCCGGGTCATTCACCATCATTGCACCTCTATCTTCAAATCAATACTGACAGAAAGGGGGAACTGAGACATAGTGCCCTAATATGTTTTGTTTGTTGTTGTTTTGTTTCAGGTTTGCTTAGATTTTTACACTTTTTATAGACCAGAATTGGTGTAAAGTTAGCAATATGTGAGGTTRTAACTTAAAGAGGGGTATTGTGTATTTTCCAAGCACATAGTTCAATCCTATACCAAAATCAAGTAACGCTGTTGCCATTAGTTGTTGAAAATGTTGTGAATATCTATAATTTATTGGCTCCTTAAGTTTCCAACACCCCCACTTTAGCACATCTTCACAGCAATACTTCAGGGGAGGGGTGCTCTGTGGGGCGGGAGCTCGGCTGCAGACTGAGCTCCAGGGAGGAGCTTTGTACCAGCAAGTGTTTAGGCAGCTCCACATGGCTCCACAGGAGACTCGAGGATTTCTCAAACATGCATGAGTGAACCAAAGCAACACACTGGGTATTGATAAGAGAATGGCATTATAACATAATATAAGCC